ATACATGCATGCTATTACAACTGGGCTATGAGGTTTCGTTTTCTCGTTTGGTGGGCTGTGACCCAACGTAATCTCGGTCGATGCACCATTTTTCCGAAAAAATATCCCGGAAACTTCGCGTGATCCTATCTATGGCAACGAGTTTTTTCAATATACATCTCCGTGAGCCCACTGAGGGGTCCTATTTCGATCAACATAGTCAATTATTCAGGAGAATGCGTTTCAACGGCGAGGGTTGAGATGATTTTGATCGGAGGCAGTAATTCTTTTCTCAAATAAGGAAAATTTCTCCCAACAGCCAGTAATGTAGCTTTGTTCAGGATGAGAAGAACCAACTTGTAGACGTAAATGCATGGCTAAAATTGTCGTGGCACGATTATTCTCTCGAATGGGATCCGAAAGATTACGACGGTGTGACCGACCTGCGGTTCAAGTGAATTTTTTAATTTTACTCATTGCTTTTTCTTTTGCCGGCATTGGCTGCAGGCCCAAGACCAACTCAGGATGGTGGACAGCCTGGAAATTGGCCTGGCCCAAGCAGGCGTCGCTTTTTGGAGGATGCGGGCTACTTGACCCCACCGTGCGTCCACGACTATGCAGGGTCTTGAAGGGGCCCACACTAACCAAGGCGACGGCGATGGGTGATTTTCCCCGATTAGGTGTTTCCTTGCAGTAGCATATGCCTGATGCTTCGCTTATTCTATCAGTGCGCGAATACCATTAGGGGACGGAGCAGTACTCGGTCGCTGGAGGAAGAGGGGTGTTGTTTTTGTCTTCAAAGAAAAGTTCCCCTCCATTTTGGCGGCCTGACAAAATCTTTGGGCCGAACAGGGAAAGGGGCACACGAAAATACATCTACATCATCAGTAAAGCCTCTTTCTGCATTCTGATGACCGAAATGCGATCTGAGTCCAAGACAAGGCCCAAGCTTCTATCGGATTGATTACGCATTTCATGCGGGCAACTTCCCCGATTGGACCTCGTACTAAATCTATGGCCTGCAAATTGAATGAAAATGGACACCGGCCAGATTATAAGATATTCCATAATTGCTTTCGAACAAGAAACGTCCCTTTTATACTAATGTGCGCTTAGAGAAACAATGTCTTAATGCAGCTTCTTGCAACTGCAGACGTGCCATTGCTCTCACTCTATATTTAGTTCAAGAATGTCAAACTCGAAGTGGTGTTAAACTTTGCGTTCAGCCTGATACTATTTTTTATTTAAAATCGAGAATGTTTATCCCCTTCACCCCCTTTCCTCCAGGAGGTAGCGAAATTTTGGGAGAATTCGGCAAAACGGTAGGCAAATTTTGAAGGATCGTGGCAGAACCAGGGCACATCATTGGTTTGAATTTTGGTCAACTCCGTACGACTGCCCTCTAATGGTAAGAATTGGCTGGATGCGACCTCCCCCCTAGTTCCCTCCCTCTACGACGGAGCGACAGAGCTGTCGAGCGAGGGGGGGGGGGAGTATATAGCACATATGAAACTGCAAAAACCGGCAAAACGACCACTCTCCCCACAACGACTATCTACAATCCCCCTCCCCGATTGGGGAATCCCAACGATGATGTGCTTTGGGCAAAATCCTTCTTCTGCGGGAGTCGTACATACACCACCATTTCACGCATCCCGATGGTGCACCCTGTTTGCACTGCTAAGGTGCATTGTTTTGATCACCCAAAGCAATTAGAAACAAAGGAAACCAAATGATTGGAAAGAAAACCCTTCAAAAGACAGACGACCCTCTTTGCTCCTTTGAAAAGACCGTGAGTTTAACTCAGATTTGAAAGTATCCCCATCGAGATCATAGTGGTTTCCAGAAAGTCTCAGTTATGGACGCCTGATGTGTTGCTATACAACAGCGCTGATCCACAATTCGACAGTTCGTTTCAATCGAATGTACTGGTGTATCCAGATGGAATGGTGAATTGGATACCTCCCGGTAAGATTGTATTGGCCGCAGCTAACGGTGAAATTCACAGTATTTCTCGAATTTCCAGGCATTTTTCGAATATCGTGTCGAATCGCCGTGGCATGGTTCCCATTCGATGTACAGGAATGCTTTCTCAAGGTGAATCTTTACTTTTAATTTGCACTTTCTGAAGGAACGCTTAACTAGACATCTCCTCTTCTCCATGAATCCTGCTTCTCACCAATTACGTTCTGCTGATGCATTAATCATTTCTGAAAAAATGTATGAAATGCTCACCGTTGACCGATCCTTTTTTTGCAGCATGCTCTCTACTTCTATTCTGAATAGTAAAGGTTTATTAAAAGCACGTACTGCGACAGGGAGCGTTGGTAGTGGTACTGGAATATGGAAGAGAACTTGACAAGGGACTCTTCTTTGAGGAGAAAATCAAAAAGGGAACCTCGAAAACCCCTCTTACAGGACCCCTCCAGCTTTCAATAGTTGGCCAAGTGCA